AGTGCATCACTCCTTTTTTGTTTTGTTTTTCTTTTTCCTTTTATAATATATTTGGTAATTTTTTCTTTTATTTTTTTATAATATATTTGTTATTATTTGTTTCTGATTTAGCTCCCTCTGTATTTTTTATTATCAGTAGCAAACTCGAAGAGGCTGCACGACTCGAGGTATACATTTTGATTTCTTTATTTAATTGATAATTTAATGTGCATTTTAATTAGATTAAGTTATACTGATTTTTATTAGATTAATTGATGATTTGATATGAATTTTGGTAAATGATGAATGATAATAATATTGATTAAATTATAAAGGAATTTGGTTGTGTAAATTATAAAAAAAGACTTCTGTTTATATAGTATAGATTGGAATTTGGGTAAACTACCTGGCTTAAATTCTGAAGTATTTGTCATTAAGTGCTAGGTAAGATGGATTATGCATTACTCATAGGCACAAGTGATGAACACAATTTTATTCTACCCATAAATATTCTCAAACTTTATTTATTTATTTATCTCACTTGAATCAATATACATACAAGATTCCAAAATATATTGAACCAGTTTATGGCCGCTATGGAACTGGCGTTTTGATTAATTAATTCCATATATATTTTTTAAATACTCAATGATTATTCTCCCTTTTAATTAAGAGTTGACAACAAATTTCAAAACGACGGATTACGACTAAGCTTCTTCTAATGAGATGATTTACAGATGAGTTGTTTGAATTAGTCACAAATGAGTGGTATAAACAATGGTAATCATGTTTTTTACATTATCTGTTTCGTATTAGATTCAAATGAGGAACTCATTTGTTTTGCAACTTATTTTTTTTGTTGAATAAAAATAATCAAATTAAATATTTATTTATTTTGCAATTTTGATATGGTCTAATCTGTCTTGTATAAAGAACTATTCAACAACGGTCCTGCAAAGATGGTCTTTAGGAAATTTGAACAGTAATGATGCCGATGATTCAGCAACCAATGGTATACTTCAAAAAGGCTGTTTATTTATTTATTTATTTATTTATTCTGGGTATTTTCTTTTTTAAAGAGTAAATTTAAACTGAGATTTGACCTTTGATAATTTTTTAACTATGATCTAAAAGAGTATTTAATTTGGAATTAAGTATTGTAAAGATTGACCCAGCCTGAGTTCTGGGCCGAGCCTACTAGACCCAATAGTTCTCAATTGATAGATGTTCAAGCTGGACCATAATTAGATTGGGCAAGATGGATCAGATGCATGGTGGACCAAATTCTTGAGCAAAATAGAAGGGAGAAGAGGTTTTATCTCTTAATTATTGAATTAGGCTAACCAATTTGATCAAACCATTAAGAGCAAGTCCACCCCAAAAGGCTAAGGCAAGGCAAAGGCAAGGCAAGGGCTGCCACTATTCATGTGAATAGTGGCAGCCTTACCTTTTTTGGTTCCACCCCAAAAGGCTAGGGCAAGGGCAATTAGTATTCATTTTAATTCATTTTATATTTTTTTTTACTTAAACCATTAATTTTGGCATGAGATATGAAAAATAAGACCAGGTATTTATATATAAAAAAAAATTCTGAAAATTTTGGTTTTTTTTTTTTTTAATTTTTAATTTTAAATTTTTTTAAAATTTTTTTAGTTGCTGACGTCATAATGACGTCAGCAAACCCATGCAAGATTTGCCTTTGGGCTTGCCCAGGCTTGTGGCCCCCATCAACTGCCTGGTCTTGCCTTTGTGCGCTGGAGCCAAAAGCTGGGCCTAGGCCCCCTTCTGCCCGGGCAAACCAACAGCGCTGGACTTGCTCTAAGAGATAGGACCTCACCTAAGGGCCGCATATAAGACCCTCACTAGAATTCTTGCTCGGACATGATACTTCACAATGTCTTTTGTATTTTGGTTACACGTGAATGTGAATGGTGAAAAGGTTAGTAATACATATTCTGCTATTGGAACATAACTATTAATGGAGAGAAAAACGAAAAAAAGTGAGAGAAGTACTTCAACCCTCTGGAGAAAACAATTGTACTATATTAAAGTTGATCAAAATTACAAATCTTTAGCGTTACTGCAAAATTCTCATCTAATTGTCGTCATGACACGATCGACATCTCTTTCTCTTTGGTATCACCATGATCACCATCGTCGCCATCGTCTTCATCATACTTGTAATCAGGAAGTGGTCCTTGGTCAGACTCGATGGCCTCCACATCCATCAATAAGTGCATGAAGTGTAGTTTTATTTGATGAACAGATTTTCCAGGAACAGATGAAGAAACTTTCTCCCACTCCCCTTTTTCGATGCATTCAATATTGTAGGTGGCTATGGCAATCTCGAAGGCTTTATTTTCTTCCCTTGTCCATTCATCAATGGCTCCTGCCATGGCTAGAACTTGTTAATACAAACTGTGCAACCAAATTTTGAGGTGTTTAAGTATAAATAATGGATGGAGGAGGCACGTCTGAGAGATTGAAAAGAAGCGTGATTCAGTACTTTGATTGTAAGATTCACAAGCAAAAGTACTTTATTTTGATTGTCTAAAAAGTAAGTGAAATTGGTAAGTATTTATGTTTGTGTATCCTAGTATTTATAAGGCTGATACTGTGATCACGGTATCTTTCTGAAAGGTTCAGTTTTATTTTTCAGATTAATACAAAAAGGGAATTCAAAATTCAGGTTGCTTTCAAATTTAGGAAAAGAAATATCACTTCATCAAAGTAGTTAATCAAGTATTTCAAATTTATATTACAAGGACAATTCAATGGGGGAGATAAGAAAGAATGTGCTTTACGTTTGATGGGTGGGACTGAACTGGACTATTTCAATTAAAATGGATGAGTTATGGTCGTTGTTTGGTGCGCTGGGACTAGACTTATTAAAGTGGACAACAATCCAACATATTGTGTCTTACAAGTCCCACCTAAAGGGGTGAGATTCATAAGGACTGATTTGCACTCAATTACAATCCAATTCAAGCCGGGCCACCAAATGAGGCTTTAGTTTAAAGTAAGATCGAAAATATAAATAGAGATAGAGAGTCGAATGAATTAACATTATATTGTTTGGTGAGGATCTATGGACTTTGTTAGTTTGTCTTCTTTATTCTTTGCTAAGGTTTAGAATCTCTTTTTCTTTATTTTATTTTTTTGATACAAACAATAACAAAGGAAGGCGAATTCATAATAGAATTTCGATTGCAGGGTTAACTCAAAATTACTGAAGACTAGTGTGTCAAATTAGGATTAACTCAAAATTACTTGAAGATCATGAATCCCAAGCCCATGATATTTTTATTCAGGCCCAATATCCAGAAAAAAGCATTTACTCAGAGGTAGTCTCGGATCAATGGCGATAGACACACAAACGCACACCACCTTCGGCTTCAATCTGGGTTCAACCAGAGCACAACAGCCACAACAAAACGCTTCCCTGTCCTGCGTTTTGGCTTCGCATTTTGCCGATTCCAGGTACTCTCTCTCACTCCCGTTAAGAAAAATCTGATGAGCAATTTGTTGCATTAATTTCGCAATTCATTTCCCATATTCTGATTCTCTCTTTCTGTTTTTGTATCCTAAATTTATGATGTTTCTCTCTTTTCTCTGTTTGAATTAGAGGAAGACACATTCTTTTCTCTTTTTTTTCTTATCTCAATTATGCACTTACAGAATTTCAACCAGTAACATAGGAGAAAATGACCCAATCTTTTTTTTTTTTCTTTCTTGTAATTTATAGATTTTTTGGGTTGTGCTGGAATTCCAGAAGAAAGCATGGAAGATTCTTATTCTGTTTGCAGTCCCAGAAGAATCCTGAGTGTATCAAAGAAGAGGAGGGCAACAGTGTCTTTTGTGGATTCAGATGATAAGGCTTCTGGGTTTCATGGCCCCAAACCTTCTGAAGTTTATGGCTTTGTTGGTTCCATCACAACTGTTGTGGCTACAGGTCTATTTCATCTACCATGCTTCTTCCTTGAGCGATTTTAGAAAACAAAATTTTCTTTTAATATTTACTTTGGTATTTTTCTGTGAGCAGTTATTTTCTTGGTGTGGGCATATGTTCCAGAGTCCTGGCTACATTCCATTGGGATATTTTACTATCCCAGCAGGTCAGCTTGGTTTCTCTCATGCGTTTGCCAGTTTTTTTTTTTTTTTTTAAATTTTTTTTATAAAGATTTTGTTCATTTGGAACTTTGATAATGTTTTGTCATAGCTAGGGGAACTTTATGTTTAAATCAAAATAAGGTTACTTAGATTGGGAAAGAAAAAGTTTGGTCAGTGTTTCTTAATGGAAGAGTTGTGGAGAGAGTTCTAACAAAATCAGCTATGGTAGTGAAAAAAGGGTAAAGAAAAGAAAATTGCTCTGGTGGTGATTTCTATGTGGTAATTTTGTTTTGTCCTTAGTATAAGTGATAGTCTAAACTACAAGGGAGGGGGGGTGTTCTCACACGCACACTATTATGATGTCATGTGGGTTTGAACCTAAGTGCACTAGTTTGCAATTCAAGGCCTTTGAACACTTTTGAGTTAATCTTTGAATTTGTGGTACTATTTTCAGGTATTGGGCATTGGCAGTGCCAGCTTATGCTATGATGACAGTGGTATTAGCATTGGGATTTTATTGTGGCGTCAACTTCATGTCCACTCCCCCCCCATCTTCCTTATATACTGTATATGGTGAGAGTTGATTGCCTCCCTTTTGTGATTAAAGTTTTGGATGTCTTGTTCTGGCTTCAAGTTCATTGTTTTGATAAGTTATGCATAAACTTCCATTCTCTTCTGCAGATGAATTCAGTAGAGATCCTTTGAGCTCTGCTCCAATGGGGGGTGATGATCAGCCTATAGAACCTATATCCGATATCAGTATCGACAGAATCAACCGTTCGATGTTCAAATAACACAAGAACCTTCAGGGCATTGGAAACTTGTACATAACTTTTTTATCTTTTCCCAAGAATGGTATTGAGTTTTGAAATGAATTGGTGACTTGGTTGATCAAAAGGGACTCCATAGCAGGAAAGAAAAATACACCTGGACGAGCTCGTTAAGTAATCTAAAATTATACATATAATCATCAACAGGGAGCTAAAAATTTAACTCGACAAAACATGTAATTTGGCTGGACAAAACAGCTGAACCTATTCGATATATCTTTAAATGGTTCATAGTTGTCCAAGCAAATATGAACGACTGTGATTTAGTACAGCTCTTTTCCAATTAGCAAAGGTAATACAATTTGCAAAGCAGTTAACTCAGCTTCTCGGTACCTAATTAGAGACTGAAGATCACAAGTAGACCAAAAAATCTGAAAAGTCAGGAGTGTGTATTATAGACAAGCACCTGCATGCTGCAGATCTTCCGATAGTCCGGAAGCCAAACTCACAATTGGCTTCCCTTCCTTGGGGATGACAAAATTTGTAAATTGATTGTCATTTCACCAGAGGCAGAAAACATCCTTGGGGATGATCAAATTTGTAATTTGATTTTCATTTCATCAGAAGCGGAAACCGATATTGTTTATATTTCAGTGATTGCTCTCTCAAGTAAGAACTTCCAGCTTTTCTTGAAATTGGATCCTTGTCATCTGAGAGTTCAACATCTCATGCACTCTACTCTTCAACTGCAGTGCAAAAAGTTGATGTCTGAATTGTAAGTTTACAAGAAAATACTTTCTTTCTATTTAATTTGTTAAGAAACTACAAGCAACAAGTTCATCAATCAAACAGAGCACAATTATTATAGAATGCAAGAGATGAGAATTTTAGTTTCAGAAGGCCAGGCCTAAGGGTGTGTTTACATAAAAATCAGCACAACTAATAGAGAACACAAATGTGCCTTGCAGCAATGTGCCCCTTTCTGTAAAGTTCAAAACATCAAAGCTCAAGGCTTCCGTGTTCAACACTATATCGGAGAGTAACATTATGATATAAAGATTACCTCAGTGAGCCCTACTTCATTTGTCACTGACACATGAAGAACTCCATCAGGACCCAATTTCCGGTACCTTTCCAGCTCAAGATCAGAATCATCACCCTTATCAGTAGCAAATAGCACTGGAGACTTTTGCAACAGATCACATTTGGACACAACATCAAGCCACAGATGCTCGCTAAACCTCTCCTTTATTTCTTTGTATATGACAAACTGCAAGCCGTCATAGAAAAATCATGAATTTAATATATGTGAGAAAGAAAGAACAAACAGAAGAATAGTGACGGGGATCATTTTCTATAGAGGTGGATTACAAAGAAAGAAACTATAGTGATTTGTCTCTCAACCATCACTTAATGTGTTGTGAGCAGTAAAAATCACTTCCATTTTAATTAATTCAACCCAATGCCACTGAAATTGTCTCAGCTCTCAAGCACAGATACAGGAATGGGTACAGCGCTACGATACAGTCAAAAACTAGAATACAGGCACGATAAGGATAAGGCAATTAAAATAATATTATTCTTTTTACTTGGCATTGTTGTGTATGGTCATATTTAATTTAGTATTTTCATACGGTAATAATTTAATTTAGCATTTTTTTGGTAAATATTTAATCTGAAATTTTTTTGTAATTGGTAAATATTAGAGATATCATTTAGGTGGGGCTGCATCTGATAACAAGCAGTCCTTGAGTCGTTTTCAATTCTAAAAAAAGCAGCAGATGGGCTGCATCCTTTTACGCCCACCACCTAAAATGGCACCGTGTAACTGAAATTACTCCTTCGTACTCCCAGTTCCCAACTCTCTCTCTCTCTCTCTCTCTCTCTCTCTCTCTATATATATATATATATATATATATATATGTCTTCATTTCTGCATCGCCTTCTTCTCTCCCATCTCTCCATCTCTCTCTCCCATGTCGTCTTCTCCTTCTTTGTCAGCCGTATACCGAGCCGTACCCTGTGCGTATCGACTAGGGTTTAGGGTATCGAACCCGTATGTGTATCCGGTATGTGAACGCTGCAATACTACTTTTCTTTTTTGAGTTTTACATACTACTTCTCGATTCAACTATAAAAAAAAAAGAAAAAAAACCTGATCAGAAGGTGAGGTTCCACATTGTCCGGAGAGGTCATGGACATAGAGTATTGCCGTTGGCAGATGCGAGAGCACAGCAAGCGTCAATTTTTCCAGATTATTTCTGTCCTCTACAACACCAAAGAAAAAAAAGATGAAATTTTTTATGCAAAGCACTGTAGCCCAAGAAAGCATACCTCAAAATGACATAATTAAAACCAATAAATGCCAGTCACTTACCATCACATCTCTTGAGCAGCCCAGGAGTGTCTGTCACCTGCACTCAGTTTATACATATAACAAAATTAAGATTGAAAATAAATAATAAAAAATATATATATTCGACCCTAAATATTAGACGAATTGAGCCACCTGAAAAGTTTGATGGTTTGAAATAATGTGACCCATCAGAATTCCTCTTGTTGTAAAAGGGTAGTTGCAAACCTACAAACAATCAAAAGAAAGAAAACAAGTCTTTCATGCTTCATACAGGCAACATATGCTCAACCCATTCAAGAATGGACTATCTATATAGCCAACCACATATACAAAACAAGATATCATCTTTGTCATTGACAATTGAAATTGTGCACACCTCAGGCTTCCCTGTGGAGAGTATGCGGACCAAAGACGACTTCCCGACATTCGGTGCTCCGACAAGACAAAGTGTCGGTGATTCTAGATCAACTACCGGCATTGCTCGCAGAGTCTGCAAATATAACTAGTTTAAAGAGATGGCCTTACCCAACCAAAAAAAAAAAAACTCAATAATCACTCAACAAATCAGAGTTGTAAAAAACAACCATTATAGGTCCCAAAGTGCACTCCTAAACAAGGCATGGATCCATAGGAAAGTTGTTTATAGGTTATACTGACTGAACAAGTAAGAAGCAACCAAATAGTATGAAAATTTAGACAACTGAAATATGATACAAAAGTTCATGAATTAAAAATAAAATATTAAAACATCTTGTTGGCCAAAAGAACTTTAAATAAAATTTTCTTCCAGTGTCTAAAAATAAAGGAAATTGAATGAAACATATTTGACTGACCTAAGTTTTCATAGAATATTCAACTCTATTGGTGTAAGGTTCACAGACACACATACATGCACGTACATCAAAAGTGCGTTGAAAAATCTACACAGTTACTAAACCATCATAATACATGTTACATGGCATGCCTTCCTTAAAATTGAATGAAAAGAATCAATAAAGAAAAACAAAAGCAACTATAGAACTCCAATTTCAGAAAGCAAAGTACCTTGGCTATGTGTAACAAATCATCGACATGTTTTCCTCCACGATTAAATGTCTCTTCAACTTTCTTTATGCCCTGTAGATTTAGTTAAGAGAGTAAATATCTACACAGATGGAATGGAGGTTTCTTTTTGGCTAAAGATAAGAAATAACCTCAGTTAGCCTTTCCTCTGCTTCTTTCTTTGACAATGACTGCCACAGTGTATATGAGAGTTTGTTAAAATCTTTCGTCTTCTAAATCAATAAAAAAATTAATTCCAAGCTTTTTTTGCTTCGATAGGAGAGTTTATTTATTTATTTATTTTTTCAGATAGGAACCTTCAAGAGTGTATTATAGATATAAATTAAACATGGAAGAGTAAAATTCATAAAGTAATCATGGAATGCAGTGTTTGTGTTTCTGGTAACAGAAGATGCAAGTAATCCTCAAAAAGCTAATAAATGAAAAGGATATAAGAAGCTTGAAGCAGGTATTGCATCATAAATCTTAAAAACCAAGACTTCTACCTTAGCACAAAGAGATGCATGTTCTTTTCCAACAGAAACAACCTTCTTCCTCAGAGAATCCACCTTTCCCAACACCTGTAATTATCAAATTAAAAAGTTGAAGTACGACAAGTTGAAAAGGGTCTAAAAGATTATACCTGTCTGCATTCTGTTAGTGTAAAAGGAAACATGAAAATACCAATAAAACTCATATTTTTACTACAGAAAAAAATTATTTCAATCAATTTTTCATTATACTAACATCCTCAAGTTATTCCGAATGGAAATTGGCCACAATTTTCTCAGGATATACCTCTTCATAATTTCCATCCCCAAGAGTTAATTCAATAAGAGATCGCTCATAAGGGTGAAGATACTTTTTATTTGGAAAATTCTCTGAATAAGTTCTCAAGGGCACTGCTAATTCCTGAAGATGGAAAAGAAACCTAGTCAGTCATCATTGAATAATATAAAAACATCACAATAGAAAATATAATAAAATGACAAACTAAAGTTGAGAACAAACTTTCATCAATGCATCAAGTTGCTTTGCACCTCTATTTCTTTCCCGCTTTGCAATATTGGCAATACCTGCAACATAAAGAAATTAAAAATCAGGGCTAGCAGCAGGTCCTATAAACAAAGTTCCGTCCGACTTGAATCTAATGTTGTTCTGTCAATTTTGATCTAAAACACATGCCCATAACAAATACCCTTTGTTGGTGAAATCCTCTTAGCCTTTCTTAGTGCAGAATACAGAATGTCAACAGATGGCATCACCATGGGTAGCTTTTGGAATGCACCAACTCCTTCAAGATTTTCTGGTGATTTGTCCTACAATTACAACATTGGGACCATGGTAGCCATAATTACTTTTTCCAAAACTTTAGTCTCAAGAAATCTTAATGACAAAAGATTGCACAAAGGTATGGATCACAAAACAAAATTACACCAATGAAGGGAAAAAAATTGGTACATGTGTGAAACTTATTTAAAATGAGAGAACAATGCCCTTGCTTAAACACTAGAATATCAAAGTAACCCAAACAATAACAATCCACTAACATAAATGGCATGCAGATCTTAAAACTAGCTAAAGTTGTCAAGGTCATTTTAACTGAGGTGTAACGCCATATGAATTAACCAAATAATCACAATCAAACTTCTTTGCACATACAACTGTAGTTACATTCTAAAATTTAATCAAACATGGATATTTCAACCTTGATGAATTAGTGAGCTAAACACCCCCAACTCACAAAATCTATGCAGGCATTATACTCTTGTTGTTAGCAGACCAAACACTGTGAATTTGTCAACTACATCGATTATTTACTTATAACAAAATCGTCCTTAATATTCCTGCAACCTACCTCATGAGATGCACACCTTGGAAACCTTTTTTTTTTGGGGGGGGGGGGG